TTGTGAGAAATGTTAGTTTTATGTGCAGCTTTGTGTGCAGTTTTCTGTTATCATATTTTTTTTTATGTGTCGTTTTATGTGTTCAATATAGCAGCTGTAGTTTGATTCTTGTTACTCAGCTGTAGTTTAGCTTGAAGTGTCATATATAGCAGCTTCCAGTAAACTTTGTACAAAATTTACTTTGTACAAATATTAGCGTTCAACACTCTTAATTTTAGGTAATATTCAGCGTTCAGCAATCAACACTCTTAGTTTTAGTTTTACCTTATCGGGTAAACCGATAACCGAACCGATAATGATCAATAACCGATTAACCGATAACCGATAACCAATATCTTATCGGTTTGGTTATCGGGTTATGATATTTGTAAACCGATAACCGATAGGCAAAACCGATAATATTCAAAACCGAACCGAACCGGCCGATTCCCACCCCTAATATTACTAACAACTTCAACATCTTCAATTGGAATCAGAAAACAAATTGTGAGAAAAGTGAGAAAGAATCACCATAGGCGAGTAGCACGAGTATAAAATAAGTTAAACTCTTTCAAAAATCCGGAGTAAACACTAAGCGATAAAGAGAGTGCATAATTTAGGTGTTGTCAATCTTAAGGTTCAGACATATCTTACCCGAATTTTAGTCTATTATGTTGGAGGAAAGTAATATTTATATTTGTCAAATCTATAGTAAAAGTTTGAAATAAGAAAAGGCTAAACCTAATGCTAGAGCATCCCTTGCTTTATCTATAAAAGAAGCTAATAATCACCAACGAAATATCTTCAAAAGAGCTCATAACAGAGCAAGAGAGAATCAGCTAGCTATTTTAGCTAAATGCTCATCATATTTTTCAAGTGAGGGGACAAAAATTTGCAAGAATATCTTCATAAGCAAAAATATAATGCCATGAAGAAGACATTTTCTTCCGGGCGAGGCAACCTTAGACTAAGGAAAATTGAGAATTAAGTAAACTTTACATTGTTTCGATATTGCAAAATTAAATTTTTAGAAAAGCATGTTCTTGTAAGTTAAATACCTTTTCAAGACTCGGAGGATGACCTCAACCAGAAGAATATAGATGATTTTAGCCTCTCAAAATCATGCACTGCCTGCATCAATAGATGAAGGAAGGTTGAATCCGACACACCTTAGTATATATCTTAAATATTCATTCTAAGGTTGTTTACCAATTGACGAAAAATATATCACATTTTTTCTCTAGTTAAGTGACTAAAACTAATGTGAAATACATGCTCACAATCAATCACATAGTATAACGAAAAAGAAAGATGGACTTGTATGAATTATAAAAGCCAATTGGCTGATAGCACAACTATACAAGACCTGGAAAGTTTCTGTTTCACCAAAATTTTATTTTGGAGCTCCAAGTACACTGTTCAAGCAACTCAAAGTTTAGCAAATCAATGGGTTAATGGTAAATTTCACCCAATTTATTACAAACTACTGGAGTTCTAAACTAAAGCTAGCTCCCAATGAATAATATAGTTGCAGTTAAATTTTTTCTTAAGTGAAACAGAAGCAAAACACAATTTCTCAACAAAAGACTGCACTTTTTTCAAACTGCAACTTTATACCAAGTGTTTATCCGAAGAAAATGAGTTTTGGAAGTTCTAATGTTCACATCACAATAGTAACCATGAAATACAAGAGCAAATTGAGCTTGTACACGTGTTTCCTATGTTTAAAGTAGGTATCAGAAATCATTTGTCTAAGTGGCACTAGTTTCTGCTAGCTGAAACATGCTAACTTTGGGATGACGCAGATGATCTATACTCCAAATCAGAATTCAGAATATAAAATGTACCAAATTATTCGAATACATCACTAACTCCTATCCAATGTATCTTTTATTCACATGAAGTAATGTTGATCTTCTCCCAATAAATCTTAAGCTGCCCTGTGAGAGATACATATGTTTTACAGAAGATCACTAAAGTACAAGATATTACATAATATAGAAATGGAACAGGTTTTATGCTTGAATGTAGCCACCATACCAGTGAAACTCTCAGAGATGTTTTTCAATCAACAATAATTGATATGGAAAGCTTAAAATCAATCAAGTAGCACATAATCAAAGGAAATCAAAGCAACAAAAAGATATACCATTAACCTTGTCAATTTGCACCAGAAAACAAGATATCCACACATACCAAAATTGAAGAACATCTAAAGAATCTAAGAAGATAAGATCTTACCTTGCAACATGACTTACTATTGCAACTTGGGTATCTGTACATTTAGAAATTTGACATGAAAAGGAACAGAAAACACAATAATTACTAAAAGAGGGAACATAAAAAAAATTATTCATGAGACTGCTAAAATGAATCTACTTAAGACCTTTCTATACGTAGAAACAAGAAAAAAAATGACATTTGTGAGTACCCAAAAAAGAAAATGACGTAAGCTGGTGCGAAGGTGTAGAGCAAGAAAAATATGAAATTTGTGAGTACCCTGAAGCCATATATACTTGTAGTCAAAGAAGAAAGAACATACTGTGCGCAGCTAGGGTTGTTTCTGCTAGAATTAGGCTCACAAATCAGCTAGGGTTTTGAAATAAATTACTAATCTTTGGGACAAACAAAGCAATAAATAATTTATGCGTTCATTCTTTTCTGGAATAAGTATCAAATTAGATAGCAGGAGTAACAACAAAAATATTAATACTGTTTAGAATATAGGAAATTACAGCAATTGGAGACCATAAGATGGTAAACATTGAAGTAGAAGAGCAGCAACCTGAAATTGAGGCCACCTCTTCTACCATATCTATCCATTTTTTTGGCCCACACTACAATAAGACAAATGCAAAAGAATTCTCGTTTCTCTAACTTTAATAATTTCTTCGATGTGTTTGGAAAAAAAAGAACCATAATTTAAAGCAAACATTTTCTTTTGATAGTGATTACAGAGGAACACTACTCAAAGGAGGGTGAAAAGGTGCAGAAACACTACCTAAGAAGGTGTAGAAACACTTCCGCAGATTCATCAAAGGTGCTGAAGCAAGAAACCCTAAACTAATATATCCATAGAGATTCTAGGGAGGCGCGAGATCTTTTGCCCTTTTGAAATGGAAAAAATATTCACTTAAGAGATATAATATTGGACGGAACATTTTAGCCAAAAAATTTATTGGACTTTTAGAGCACACTTATAAAGTGTTGCTTTTAGAATAAAAAAAGAGCACACTTAAAAGTATAGCCATATATACAAGTAATTGTTGTTAATTATTTTATGATTTAGCAAAGTTTAATAAGTGTAGCCTAATAAAATAAAGATCACACTTTACAAGTGTGGCCAAGTTTTCCGTAGCCAAAAGTTCTATACAAAGGCCACCCCTTGAAAGCGTGCCCAAATATATTTTTGGTCACACTTTTCAAGCGTTGTCTAAAATTAGTGTGCCATTAGGCCATATTTGTTGTAGTGTTGGATTTGCATGATTGGAGGGCTAGAACAAGATTTTGACGTGATTTATGGTTAAAGCTAGCCCGGGAAAGAGGTAAGTCTCTTGGATAAGAGGAAACCCCTAGGATGACTTGATTGCTATGTGTTTAATGTATTTGGAGGGTGATGTATATGCAAGGTAGTGAACGTACCAAGTTTATATCATGTCTAAGATAGAATTTAGATATTTTATCCTTATTTTGATTATGTGCTCATCTTGATTCATGATTTATTTGACTTATATGACTACATTTGCGCTCTTATTCATGCTAGACTAGAAATTATGCCTCTTTGTTTTTTTAAATTGTTTATGAAGGCTCTTATTCTTGAAATTTTGAATTGCTTGAATCATCCATAGTCATATAGAAATTCCATGAGCACATAATTGTATTATTATTATTATGTCCACGTTCATCTTTTATCAATATATTCTTGGGCATATGCATATGTATTATATTTGGATATCTGATTTGGACTGAGATCATGGAACAAAAGGTAGAGTCGTGTGGTTGAAATACAATTTTGGCACACATAATTTGATGAACGAATATTTGATTTATGAGTGAGCTATCAAGCTACTTTTGCGTTTTGATAAGGATCTGTCCTTCCGGAGTCAAGTAATTATCCATGTTACTTTAGGCCCCATGAGCATAGTCGATATATGGATTGTGTATCGGTGTTGATACATGAATTTTGTATCGGGTTTCAGTGATACATGGATTGAGTGTGGTACACGGATCTTGTGCCGGTTATGGTAAGAGATAGACTCTTGAGCATGAATAGACATCCTTGATTCATTAAGAAATATTCATTCAAAATGCCAACTATTGCCTGTCACATATATATATATACTAGTTGGGAGCCTTGACTCCATTGATTGAAGCATGTCATCTTTAAGTACCATATTGGACCAGCGTTATGATTATCTCTTGAACTTGGAAAGCATGTTTTATATCTTTTGACTCTTTTATATCTTTGATACATGTTGTTCATGAGGATATTTGTTGTTTCAGTTCCAAGCTCTGTTATTCATATATGTGTTGTATGTATCTTGATGCCTATAGCTTCGTTGCTACTTCTTCAAGGTTAGACTTGATACTTACTGAGTACCAATTGTGTTATACTCATACTATGGTTCTGCATATCCTTTTGTGTAAATCCTCATGTGTGCACTAGCAGAGCCTCTTGTTGAGCCTAGGCATTCGCTCAAAGACTTAAGGTGAGTTGCGCCTCATGGATTTGTTCTCTAGTGCCCGAGTCTCTATCTTTTTATTATCTTCTGTCTCTTTTCATTATCTTCTGTCTATTTTCATTATCTTCTGTCTATTTTCATTGTCTCAGACACTTTTGATCATGTATTCAGACTTGTAGTTATTTAGTAGTTGCTCGTGACCTTGTGCTACCTAGTCCTTGGGGGTTTTAATATTTTGGTCATGCGTCACGACCCAAATCACCATCAATCGTGATGGCACTAACCCACTTGCTAGGAAAGCCAGTTATAAATAATAACAAAATATGATAATGAATTACAAAATCGATAAATCTGAAAGACAAATAACCATAAATAATGACAAATCATAATACAACTCCCCAAAACTGGTAACGATAAGTCATAGGCTCTACAATATGAATACAAGTCTAAAATACAGAAATATTATTTGAAACAATAACAACAATAAATAAACATAGAAAGAGACGTTGGGGACTGCGATTAGGAAGCAACTCTACCTTGGTCTCCACAAAACACATCAAACAGCTCCGCTTATAAAGCTCTACTAGATCCAGCTCCTAAATCTGTACAATTAAGTGTAAAGTGTAGTATAAATACAACCAACCCCATATACTCTGTAAGTATCATGATTAACCTCAGTGATATAGTAGTGGCAAGAATTACCAATGATACTCACTTAATAACCTACTTAGTTCGTAAATATCCAAGAACACAGCAATGCTACCAAAATAAATATAAAATACATGTATAACCAAATTAGTGCATAAAGAGAAGACGTGCCCAAGTCTTATAACAGTTTAAGAACTCAACATATAGAGAATATATGCATTTATAACAAAAAGATCATCAACCTTAGCATATAGAGAAGATACACATTAAGAATCAGTTAATGTTCACAGGTTAACATATAGAGAAGATATATACCGTGCCCTCACTTTCCAGTCAAAACAAAGAGGCACGTATACGTTTCAAAACTAGCATATAGAGAATATATACAATAAAAACATGTATATACCCGAGGTGTTTGAAAATAGAGAAGAGATGCAAAGACCAAACATTGGTCAGTTCTTTCTCATACCATGTGTACGTCATCAAGAGAGAAACATGAGAGGACGTTCCTAGGGGGATGGATCCTTATCCATATGATGTAAGATAACTCACTTACCATAATATAACAACTGCACAGACTACTCACGTGCTATCATAACATCAACGGCATGGACCATTCACGTGCTACCAATCCAGGATATATCACACAGAAATCATATACAAAAATATATTTATACGAATAATGGATATCAAATCACACACTCATGGACTAATTAAAGTGACATGCTAAGGAGTATGCATATGCAAAGTGTGCTACCATAGCTCAGACTAGGCGAATACACCACAAAATAGCAATTATCATATTTAAACAGGAAATTAACCTACACATGATCTGTAGCATGATGAAAGTAGCTCACGAAGGGATACGAATATATGAAGCATGATAGTAAGAAGTATAGTATTTAATACAAGGCATACATAGTCTACGCACTAACACGAGCATGGATAAAAATCTGGAGCATGCACACATGCTCATCCCCCACACGTGTGTCACCCTCGGCACATAGACATCATCAATAATTCAAGCAACTAGTGCATCAAACCAATGCTAGGCAAGGTATTTACCTCAAACAAGCCAAATCAATACTCTAAAAATGTCTTCCCTCGCAAATCGGCCTTCGAGTGAATCGAATACAGCCAAAACTAACTCAATAATGTCAAACAAAACTATAGGAATTAATTACAAACAATAAAGCTTCAATTTTTACTTAATTCCCAAAAAGTCAACAAAAGTGAACCCCGGACCCACACGGTTAAAACCCGAGTCAAGGAGTAGATCCCGATTACCCATAACCCCATGAGTCCAAATATTTTAGATTCCAAAATCAAGTCCAAATCGACCTTCAAATTACCAAAATTTATTCTCTTAAGTTGTAGGTAAAAACCTCAAATTTCCTCTTTCAAGTCCATGTTCCCACTACACAAATCTATGGGGGAATTGAGATATATAATTAAATCCAAGTAGAAAATATTTACCCTAAAAGTGGTGATAAAAACTCTCCAAAAAATGCCTCCAGCCGAGCTCCAAAACTCAAAATAATGAAAAATAGACCAAACCCTCGAAATATAAGTTTGCCCAACATTTTTTCGTATTTGCGGACAAATCTATCACATCCGCGATACCGCTTCTTAGAGCCCATTCTCGCATCTGCGAAAGTCACTTACTCAGCCTGCCTTCGCACCTACAGCCAACCTTCTGCTTCTGCGACATCACAAGTGCGACACCAAAAATATGCAGATGCGCAGTTCCTCAGCCTAACAATCCACGCATGCGCGCCTAGAAGCTCCGTAGGTGCAACTGCGCAACCGCCCCTTCTTTGCAGAAGCGACCCATCACAAGAGAAGTCAACTTCGCAAAAGCGACCAACCCCTCACACATGCGCCTTCGCAGCTCCAATAAAACCTTTGCAAATGCAATGCAATGCGCCAGAACCAGAACTGCCTAACCATTTACAAATGGTCTGAATAACTAAACCAAACTTATTACAAAGCTCAAAACATCACAATAACATCCAAAATCATGAATCACACATCCAAACTCAAGTTACATAACTCTTAAATTCAAGGACTTTCTAACTTGAAACCAAGAGTCTGATTCAAGCCTAATCGATTTGGATTACAACCAAACTTTGTGCAGAAGCCCCAATTGACAAAATGAACCTTTCCCAACTTCCAGAACAACAATCAGAACCTATCCCAACTTCTGGAACAACAATATGAGCCTGATATCATCAAAGTTGACTCCTTGTCAAACTCATAAACTTTCTAAACCTTCAAATAGCTAATTCTCGGCAAATAGAGCCAACACATCCTTGGAACCCCCAAATTTAAATTCAGACATACGCCTAAGTCCAATATTAACATATGAAACCTATTGAAACCGTCTAATCATCAATCTTAGGTCATCTATTCAAAAGTTAAACTTCAGTCAACTCTTACAGCTTAAGCTTCCAAAATGAGACTAAGTGTCTTCAATCACTCTCAAACCTTCCCGAAACAATGATAACCAACCCCGCAAGTTATCAAACAACAAATATACATACGAGAAACATTAAATAGAGAACCGGGGCTCAATACACAAAATAACCGGCAGGGTTATTACATTCTCCCCTTTTAAATCAACGTTCATCCTCGAACGGGTTTAGAATCATACCTGAAGTGACAAAATGATGAGGATATCTGATCAACATATCATGCTCAGTCCCCCAAGTCGCCTCCTTGACCGTTTGACCTCTCCACTGAACCTTTATTGATGCAATATCTTTTGACCTTAGCTTCCAAATCTGCCTATCCAAAGAGGCCACCGACTCTTCCTC